CCCACCCAGACTTCACCTGGGCTGCTGTATTGCCAGAGAAACCGTTTCACTTTTCCAGTGTGAGAGTCCTCACTCACGTTGACCAAACTACACAGAACTATACTAGACCTTTCTTGATGCACTGTATTTGTGTAAAGATGGTAATATGTTTTAGCAACAGAAAGTGGATCCTAGATTTTGACCTCCCTTTGGCTTTTGCCTGTGCCACTTTTAAGTGGCATGAGCAAGAAATTTAATCTCTGAATCCTTTTTATTCGTAAAATGAGAATAATACTTGCTTTAGGCATTATTGGGAGGACTGATTGCAATAAAGAATATAAAAACATAGCAAAATAGTTCTTCATTTGCTGTTACTGTTGGAGGATGGTTTTGGTTTTGTTCTTGCTTTGGTGGAACAAATTGAAAACCAAAGTTTTTTCTGGCATTAGATTTTTTTTTTCTTACTAATCAGAGGGAATGTGGTAATGACAATAGAATTTTGAATGACATGTTTATATTTTGAGATTCAAAATTTCTTTGCTAATCATATGTCATTCTCTAACATTTAGCAACTACTTCGTCAGAGGAAATAACAGATTTAGTCCCCAGATGTTTTAAGACATGTGGGAAATGAAAACATGGCAAAAATTTAAAAACAAACAAACGAAAATCTAGGAAGTATAAAGAGGCTATCGCCTGGAGCAGAAAAAGTTGAAATTTCAAAATCTGGGGGAAAAAAGTTAAATTTCTGATTATAGGTTAGGCAGCATGGCCTACTGAAAGCTAAGAATTTTACCATCTGATTTGTTATCTCAGTTTAACTGTGACTCTTTCAGGTCTTGTTTTGATCTCCTTGATCTTCTGTTTCAGCAAGAAGACTGTTCCTCCCAGGAGGGATTAGGATTATAAAGTCCTAGCAAATGATTGAGGTTTAAAACTGGTAGTTACTGTTATTCTTCTTCTTAATCTTAGCTTTTGATTGTCTAAAAGAAGCCAAATACTTTTCCAGTTTATAGTAACCATGGTTTAAGCACTTGCTTCTTCTCCCTGATAAAATCCTACCACCTTTCCTGTTTGTCAGTCCCCGCTTCCTCGTAGTCGAGTAGGTGAGGATTTCCCCGCTAGGTCAGCTTCAACCTGCTCTGGGCTTGGAGAAGGAAACTTGGAAGAAAATTGTAAACAGGTAGATTTAAAACTCTGCTTATTTGAAAAAGATACTTTTTGCTGTTTGCACTTCAGAATATTAATACTGATTACCCTTGTGAAGACACTGAGAAGATTTTTAAGAAACCTAAAATTAATATAATTCCTTGTGAGTGTGTGTGTGTGTGTGTAGCTGTGTAAATGTTTGCGTTTTGGTATGTTTTTATGATTAACTCCCTTTCCAAAGAAATAGCCATGTTGTATGCAGACCTCTACCATGTTTTCATGGACTAGTAAGGGACAGATTCTGAATAAGAAATGTCTGAAGGTTTTGAAATAGCTTCTCTTTGGTGATTTTCTAAAGCAATTTTAAGACAATTTGAAGGAAACAGTAATAGTTGCTTAATAAATCAGCAAACTCCTCAAATTTTAAGTTTTCCCTGATTGATACAAGCACTGAAGCATTTATCAAAGCTTAATTATCTCTTGTCCAGAAAGATTCTTTTCTTTTGTAAGGTACACAGCATCAAAAGCAGTGGATGACCCTGGGAGTTCTTTTCACACAGTAGGAGTGACATTTGAAGAACCTTTTACCCTCACATCCCCCAAATTCTACTGTAGGGGTGTGAGTGGGAATCATTTATTTTTAAAGTTGTTATCTGACCTTTAAAATAAATCGCCCTTGCCTGGCCAGTGTGGTTCTGTGGATTGCATCATCCCATGGACTAAGAGGTCCTAGTCAGGGTACATGCCTGGGTTTCAGGCTTCAAACCCAGTAAGGGGCGTGCAGGAGGGAACTGATCCATGTTTTTCTCTCTGACATCAATGCTTCTCTCTCTGCGTTCATCTCTCTCTAAAAAAGAAAATTGTCTGGCCAGGGTGGCTCAGGGGTTGAACATCACTCCATGCACCAAGAGGTCGCTGGTTTCATTCCCAATCAAGACACATGCCCAGGTTGTGGGCATGCAGGAGGTGGCCAATCAGTGTTTTCTCTCATCGATGTTTCTCTCTCTCTCTCTCTCTCTCTCTCACTAAAATCAATAAAGGGGGGAAAAAAAGAAAATCAATAAAAACATATTAAAATACATAAAATTGCTCTTGCATTGTTCATTAGAAAAATTCAGCGGCTTTCTGGAGTTTTCTGTTTGACTACTTAAGAATGTGCTGTACCTGATTTATCACTGAATGTGAGCTATGCCCCAGGCTTTTTTTAATGAATCTCTCCAGCTCATCCCCATATTTGGAATTATTGATGGTAATGATAAATATAACCCAGTTTTATTCTGTGACTTCTCTCTAACACAGAGGGTTGTAGATAAAATATCTTGGGACCATATACTTTCATTCCTTTTAAAACTTTTATGTGAAATCTTTTTAAAATATATTTAAATTGTACTTTTTATCTATTTCTAGAGCTTGAATCTCATTCCAAAAATATTTTACTTTGAGCCCTGGCCAGTTTGGCTCAGCGGTTAGAGCGTTGGCCTGCGGTCCTGAGAGACCCGGGTTCGGTTCCTGCTAGGGGCACGTACCTTGGTTGCAGTTTGTCCTCGGCCCTGGTCGGTTGTGCGGGTGGCAGCCACTCGATGTGTTCCTTTCACATCGATGTTTCTCTCTCTTCTTCCTCTCTCTCCCTCCCAGTCTATCTGAACAAAAAATGGAAAAATGTCCTCGGGTGAGGATTAAAAACAAAAAATTTTACTTTGAAAACAACTTTAAGCCAAAGGGTGGCTTTGAAAACTATAAAATATATAATCATATGCATTTTATACTTTGGAAAAATGTAAAAATATTTATTTGTGTGTATAAGTCACACACATATACCATATGTCCGTCCAGTTATATTTTCAAAATTTCTTGTCTTTCTATATGATTTCTTACCCAAATTCAGCTTTTGGGTTATTGAGAGAATAAAGTTTGTTAGTGGGTCAAAAGTTAACTCTACTGCACCTTTTGCCACATGACTAAAGCCACTCCTGTTAAATAGCCACGAATCAGCACTGTTTCTCAGCCTGCCATCGTGCAGCCTTCCTCTTCCTAAAAGATCCCACTGATTTTATCATTTGCTTCATGAAAAACCTCAAGTAAGTTTGTAACATTAGATACCATGTTACTCTGGGAAGTCAAGACATTGGCACGTTTTAAGTAAGAATATACTATTGCCATTTTGTAATTTTCAAATGTAATTTTCAGTCAACAATAAAAAAAGGTTCCTAGACTTTCTTATTAAATTTTGGTTCACATTGATTTCCTCCCCCCCTAAATTAAGTCTGCTGCTTTCTTTCTCTTTGAAGTGCAGGTTTTTCTGCATGCATGTTTTCTAACATCTAATAAATGTTTTTAAAAATGCACAGGTTACTTTGCATGATTTTTGGAATTTGCTCTTATACAAATATTGAAATCATGTTAATGGTATATTAAATGGGTGGTGAAATCGATTCCTCCAGATAATAACGTATTAAGAATGATTCAATAATGAAATATAGAAATGTATATTTTAGTACAGTTGGGCCTGACATGAAAGCAATTGGCCTGTTGTGATTTAATTTGGATGGAAAGGTTGCTAATGCCTGTATTTGGAGGTCAGGAGAAAAAAGTAAGATATATTTGCCCTATGCTATGTGTAGTGAATGCTTATAGGTATGTTTGACATGTTGAAAAGTTATTTTTGGTTACTCTCTAAAGAACATTCTATTGATATTTCAAAATTCATAATTAATTTTAATTTTTGGTTAATACATTTGAGTCTTTAGATTTTTTTTTTCTTTCTTCAGGCATAAATAGTAGTTTAGTCATAACTGTACCTAGACTTACTTTTCACACTGTATAAGCATTGAAATATTTTGTGGTGTTTGTTTCCAAATAATTTTTCAGTAGATTTTTTTTTTCTTGTAATATTGTGTATCATGGGAAAAATATTCACAATGATTACTACAATCCTAAAAATTGCAGTCTTTGGAAAAATATATTTATACTTTAAGTCAAAAGATTTTCATAATGTGTTTTCCTTTCTTTGAGTCTTAGAAATTTGTAAGAAATGCCAATTAGTACTTTGGCATGATTTTTCTAAATCAAAACCCTTGTAACCAGTTCTTCGGGCATTGTGTGTAAGCTCAGAATGCCAGCTGCTGCACCAGTGCCAGAGCCAGCACAGAGCTTGCTGGGGGCGTTCAGTCTCACTTGGCTGCTATTGCTTCAGCTAATTGCTTTTCCCACCTTGCTGCTGTAGTGATTACAAGCAGTCTTGCAGTATGTTGTCTCAATAAAGAAAAGTAGAATGTTTTCTAAAAGACAGAAGGATAAGTTTTACATTTCCACCATGTAATTGCTTCCCAAAGACTGGCTCTTTCCTCAACTCATAGGTATGAAAGTAGGAGTTTTTCAGATGTATTTAAACTCTGTCTTTTTCTAGTATTTCTTAGTCACCAGGAGTGGCATTGAGGAAAAGCAGGTTCTCAAGGTAATTCAGTGGAATGCTGTTTAGAAACTTGTTCTTTCCAGGGTACACTGGAGCCTTGGCCAGTTCTGATTTATTAAAGTGAACAATCTTATTTATTTATTTACCAGCTTCATCCCTAGTGCTAGACAACATAGGAAGAGTTATAGGAATTTATTATGAACGTGCTGTGGAAATCCAAGGCTAGGGCATTAAAATTCAACCAGGACTTATTTTCCAGGTTGAAGTCAGACTACTTATAATTGATGATATAATTTTTTCCAGATGCATTTTATTTATTTATTTTTGTAGCAAAGATGTCCTTTTATTATTTACTTTACTCATACAAAAATTGTTTTCTTTTAGAAATAATTTTAATGAATATTTTGATCAAGGTATGCTATTGTCCATCACATATATTAATCATGTCCTCTTTTTCTAGGCAGCACAAATTGTGCTCATTTCGCTGTTTGAATTGAACACTCCTGAATTTACCATGTTACTTGGTGCCTTGCCCAAAACATTCCAGGATGGTGCCACCAAACTCCTGCATAACCACCTCAAGAATTCCAGTAACACCAGTGTGGTGAGTGCTTTGGCCGTGGCCTGTGTGTGCCTTGTGCAGGGCTTGCTCTAGCAGGCAGCTTTCTTCTCTCTTTCAGTTGATTGTTGCAAAGGTGGGAGACCAGGTTTAATCCTGTCATACTCCCGATGAATGAATGAACCTGATGTTTAAATGTGGCCATTTTCTTAAGTTAGGTTACTCAGTTAGTTAAATTTTTATATTTAGTCATTTATTTGTTGAGTTACATACTTTTTTATACTGTAGAGATGAAAATGCTCAATTTTGTCTGTTACTCTAGCACAACTGACATCAGTTATTCAGCTTTAGGAATGTCTATGAAGTCATCAGTTTTTAGTTTAGTGTGCACTTAAAATTGGCCATAATGATTAAGGGAAAAAAATCATCCCAATTGTACAAATTCTGCCCGTGTATTTACATGTGGATTAAAAGGCCAAGGGAAAAATGGACCATTTCTGTGTTTAGCCTTGAAGTAATGATGCTTATTCTGCCTTCACACCAGGGCTCTCCGAGCAATACAATTGGCCGGACTCCCTCCCGACACACCAGCAGCAGGACCAGCCCCCTGACCTCACCCACCAATTGTTCCCATGGGGGCCTGTCTCCAAGGTAATGCAACTTCAACAGAAGCGAATAAACTGAAGCACCCCAATGTCTGTCTAGCCTGTTTTTATGTTTTTAGACTAAGCTTAATACCAAAGAGTACAGCTATCAGAAGACCATGGATTCTAGCCCTCAACCAAACCTTAACTGAATGATCTTGGGCCAAGTGGTTAACTACAACAGTGAATTGAACTTAATGTTCTCTGAGATTCTTCTAAATACTTCCTAGTACCTTAAAGTTTTGAAACTAAAAGGTTACATTTAGTATTGCTACGCATAGAAATTATTAGAAACATATCACCTCTTCTCTAAGTGATGGGAGCCCTTGAAAAGGTATTTAGTCATCTAACCAAGCTCCTTAGAGCCCATCCACACATCTGGAGTAGTTTTCCGACCCATTGGCCATTCCATAGTTGCTATCGTCATGGGCTCATGTTTGAAACAGAATGCTGCTCTGGGGAAGGGAGTAAGGACCTGAGAACTGAACTTGGATCAGTACTTTCAGACTCATGTGAACATTGGCCTTACAGAGTCTGAGACAGTGACTGAGGGAAAAGGCTGCCTCGGGAGTTTTAGTCACACGGTTCCACCTGGCCAGAGTCTACAGCAGGCTCTGCGTGATGCTTTAGTGATCTCCTGGCGTGTGGTGGAGTCCCCCATGGCTTACACTCAGAGTAGTGACTCTCTAGGCCAGACTTTTTAGGTAAGAGCCAGTGCCTGGACCTGCAAGGGTCATGCATGCTGTGCTGTCTGTAAGAAGTCCAGGTCTTTGTGATCACTGACGACAAGAATGAGGGGCTGTGTCTTACGGGTTGCTGATATCAAGATCTTAAAATTACAAGAAAATACTGCAAATATGCTATTTTCCCTTTAAGGATTACCTCTTTAGTAGGAAGATAATCACAACATAAACGCCCTTAAATTTTGATTTTTAAATGATCAAGAGTTTCCCATAGTCCTATTCTTACCAGTGAATTTCTCTTTAGTTCCTCAGGTTCTTGTTTAAATATTTTGGGATATATCAAATTTGTATTTTTCTTTTGGTGAAAAAAAGTATTTTGTATACTTATAGTATCCTACTGTTTATATTGCCTTAGGTTTAATCATTCTAAGGCCCCCTGGTACTATAAGTAGAATAAAGTATAATGTTATGTCTCCAAATCTGGTCTGTTGTCATGATTCAGCAAGCTAGTCTAATTAGACATCTGAGACCAGAAACTAATGAAAATATGTCTGACTTTCCCCAGGTGTGACAGGCTCAGCCGGCCAGTTGTTTTTAATGTTAACATCTGTGTCTATATCTACAGTGACAGGTTGTCTTCAGTGACCAGGGTCAGTGCTGACCCTAAAGTCACAGAGTTCTCTTTCTTGGTGTGGGAGAGCTTTATGGGAAATTTGGGTTCTCTGTAAATTGTTGCTTTTGTCTAGATGTGACACTGAGCAACATTAATGAGAAACCTGGTCTTTCCTAATACACAGATTGTATTTCCTGTGTTTTAATTATTTCCTTATAAGGGTGGCACATTCTTTAGGTGGCACATTCTTATTAGCAAAAGGTAAAACTCAAATTAAGTATTTTGTGTTAAAAGTAAGTAAAATATTGTTGGGAGCTTCTAGCATAATTTATCAGACTAAGAATTGTCTAAGTATTAATCATGGATCCCCAAATTATTAAAAATTTTAATTTACTTTTTCAGATCATCGTGTCTGACTTTAATTTTTACTGTTAGGGTTACAGGTCTGTGGAAGAAATTAAAGAGGTTTATTGTCAGTATTTAAAACGTGCAAGTATGGCCTAAATATTTTTTGGTCAAAAAATTCTCCTTCAGGGAATCACTTAGTTATACAGTTTCTTTCTTTTTATCAACAGTGTGCCCCAGTCGGTGCTTCCCTAGACAAATGGACTTAGCCCACTTTGTATTCATTAGGAGAAATGACTTCCTCAACTGAAACTATCCCAAAGTAGCAAACACTGCCTCACAGCATCCTATCACTGGGAATAGTCAAAGAGTCTACATGCTTTTCTGTCAGGAAAATCATAAGACCTCATGCACCAAACAGGAGAATAGGTTAGGTTACCAGCTCTACAGGAGACAGTGAACAAGTTCTCCTGTATTTAAATCGCAGCTGTTTCCCATGCGGTGCTCTTGAAATGCTTATTTTCTGTGACCTGCCGTTCTTTTGAGTCAACCATATGATGTTAGCTTTTCATTCTTAAGGGGAGAAGTTATTACCAGTTGTTTTTTAATCTGATTTTGAGTATCAGAATGAACTAATATTATTTTTTTGTCCAAAAATTCTGTACTTGGATCATGGTGGTATTAAGGAGATAATTTAAAATGAAGAAAAAAAGTCTAATTTGGTAGTTTTTTTTTTTTTTTTAAAGAAATCACTAGTGAAGAAGTCACTTTTATTAAGCTAGTAGTGTTAGATTAGCCATAGGTAATGGGAAACTTTCATGAACGTTCCATTAATTGTTGTTTCTGTGTGAGGGAACAATTATTTCCTACTAGTAAACAAATACTACTGGGTATTTGGAGAGGAGATTTATGTCCTGCAGTTTTTCATCATTAAACATGTATTTGTATTTTAGTTCATTTTACCCAGTGTGATTTATGTTAAATGAAAACCAGAGTTGCAAGGACTTTAGAAATCATATGAAATTCATTCCCTTGAAGATCAAAAAAAAAAAAAAGTATGTGGCAATCCTCACTCCAGTGCTTGGCAGGGCTGTAGTAGAGCCAAGTGGCACTGCTAGGTGACCTCTGTTACCCATGGCAGTCCCAGGTCACTCTGGGTGGACTTTACACTCATCCCACCAGAGGATCAAGACTATCCTAGAATCAAGGAGATTCACTGGGAGACCAGCCTCCCGCAGGAGCAGGGGCGCCGCTTCGTTCTCTGCCTGTTAGCAGAGCTCCAGCCTGACCCCAGGGGGTGACTTGGGGGCCCTTTAATGCCACAGTGACCTCTCATCTCCACACTTTATTTTCCTTACAAAATGGGGCCATAACTGGTCAGCTTTGTGCCTGCTGCTCTTAGAACTGCAGTGGAGGCTGGCAGCAGGCAGTGCCGCTGTGTGGGAGCAGTCTATGATGCCAGACTCCGCGCCCTGGCCTCATGTCACATTCCAGCCAGTCTAACTCACCCTTTCCCAGTGTCCCTGGTCCTTGTCAGCTGCAGCAGTTAGAACTCTCTGGTGGCGGGCCTCTTGCAGCTCAGATCACTTAGTGACATCTGTGACGTGAAGAGGAATACTTGTGTCGTAAGATGAATTTTAATGTTCGCATTAGGTGATAGGAGCAGAGAGTTAGATTTTTGGTTCCCCGCCCTCTGAGCTGGCTAGCTGAGAGTTGGTGCCTCAGCCTTCTAGTGGGGATGTTACTCTTTCAGCAGGAAATGGCTTGTGGCAGCTTCATAACTCCCATCTAATTGGATCCCAGCCTCTGGTCAGAATGACACGTTCTTTGAGTCTTTCTGCTATAGTCCCTTTGGTCCCATTTGAGTTAAGGCCCATAATTTCTTCTTTGGTTCTTTCTAAAATAATTGATTGCATTGTCTGGAACTGAACATCCATGCTTTTTTGTAAGTGCTTATAATGTCCTTCCCAGTGTAGGCACGTGTGTACGCTTCACACTTGCACTCGGAATCTCACGTGATTTAAAAATGTAAATACCAGATTGAGAGGGAAAGGAGTAACAGTCTTATTGAGGATCAAATTGTAAAAATGTGTTCTTTTTCTCGGTATGGTGAAGTATTAATTTTGCTCTGATGTATTTTAATAGAACTTTGTCAAGGAAAGAGGAGACTCTAAGACACTTAGTATACAGCGTCTTCCTCCTCCCTTCCCCTTTGCCTTTTTTTGTTTCTCTTTCTGATTTTCCTCTTCTGATCACTGCAGTCGGTTATGGGGTTGGAGTGCCGATGGGCTATCGAAGCACTCGCCTCCCTTTTCTCAGCCTAACTCCATTCCCACCGCTCCCTCCCACAAGACTCTCAGGCGCTCTTACTCTCCCAGGTAACAAGCTACCTGTTAAACTTGTCTGAGGTGTCACAATATTATTGCATTTCCAAGGTCGTCTCAGTCTTTTGGAAAGCCTCTCAGCTGCCTGCAGTGTGGTCCCTGCTTTGGCTTAGACTAGCAGGAGGACGCCTTGGTGAGAAGTGTGAGCAGGTGTGTGATCTTTGTCAGACCTCACAAGTACAGTTCCTGCCATGTCACATGAACAGAGGACCATTTCCCCAGCATCTCCTGTTGCAGACCTTCCAGCCCAGTGCAGTGCTCAGCCCTCTGAAAGTGCTCAGGCAGCAGAGCCGTTTCCTTAGCATTCTTCTCGGGTGCACAAGGCATTCCCACTAGGAAGCAAGTCACACCTGCTCTTCCCAACCTACACCCGCAGCTCTCAGTCCTGCTAGTGATTGTGTGGACGGGTAACTTTCATAATGTCCTGTCACCTGGTGGTAGTCGCAGGACACAGATCCAGGAAGGAAGCCCCAAGAAGGGGAGGGCAGGTAGTTACATCTCAAGAAAGAAACCTGCCTCTAGGCAGGAGAGCTGTTGGTATCATCACAAGTCCCTGGTTTAATGTGACAAAGCTAATGAGTCTGGAAGAAGTGGTGGGGCTTCCTTCAGATGGTAAATCTGTGGTGCAGAGCAGGGCCCACTGTTCCTACAGAAAGCTGGATGGTCTTTTGGGTGCTTTTTATAAAGGTTCAGAGACCAGAGAACCCCTTCCCTGGCAGGCTGTAGTGACATGAGCAGATCAGGGGCAGTGCCGCTGCCTTGTCCGTTGCATGTGTGCCCGTGACAGGACAAAGGTCAAAGTGGGCACTCTGCTGCGTGCTGAGAGCTTCAGCACAGGAGGTTGCCGTCCTGCTTCTGTGTCCGCAACACAGCAAGCAGCACGTGGTAAACAAGTCAGCTAAATGTTTTAACATCTTTCTTTTGAAACTTACAGCTCTAAAAGTAACTTCCGAATGTACAGAGGATGCTGTAATGAATGTGTCTAGATGTACAAGGTTAGGACAAGGGCACCCTGACCGTGAGATGGCACTGCTGTTCTCCCAGGGTATTGACCGTGTGCCCTCATGGGCACCCAGCTCCACCCTCAGCCAGACTTCCCAGCCGCCCTCAAGACTGCCCTCCAGAGGATACGCTGCCCCCAGACTCATCTCTCTCACGTGCGCACAGTAATACAGCTGATGCTTAACAAACACCTGTTAACCATTGGTGGGGAGACAGGTGACTAGAGACTTTACATTTATACAACCTATTGCTTACATAAAACTAGAAGGAAATTTGTCTCTCTGCTCTGTGCCAAAACCCTATTAATTTCATAATAAGAACAGCTATCCTTTTTCTGTACTCTTAATATCTCTTCCCTACAAAATAATAAAGAAAATCTAAGAAGGCAAGTTTCTTGTCTTCATTTTCTCTTTTCTTGGAGACCCGACCTCATGCACCTCCCCACCCCTGATACAAACCCTTTACAGCAGGGCAGTCAGACTTTATTCTGCTTCAGTATTGGGTGACATGCCTCATCTTAGGTCAGTGAATGTTGACCGATTGAGCAACTCTTCCTAATCGAAAGAATCCTCAGGAAACCTTTCTGGGCTCTAATCACAGGTGACCAGAGCCTGGCCTTTAACCTAAAGCATCATACCCTGGAGTTGTCTCCAGGCTGCGACCAGGTGACAGACCAGGTCTCCCGAGTAAAGCTGCTGCAGTCTCTTGCTGCTCTCTCATTGTATTGCTCGTGGAACCACAGTGCCTACAGTTCCCTGATGATGGCATTCACTAGGAGTTTCCTTTTTCTGTATGAAATGAGGGCTCATAGATGTTGACTTGAAAAAAGACAAATCAAGCCAAGGCATAAAATAGCAAAGAAAAGAGCACTGTTTCCTGTTAGAGGAAAACAATGATCGCTCTCACCTGGAGCTCACAGTTTTCGCTTCATACCAAGGAGCCACTTCAAGACCTCAGGCTAGCGTGTCTAAAAAGCGTCACCACAGCTTGAACTTGGGCATGCACATGCACTCCTCAATTGGAGTCTGAGTTGCTTTGTTAATTGAAAGTAAGGAGGAACATCACTTGGCAGAGTCCTTTATTTTCTTATTTTAAAAAGAGGCTACTATAATGATAAAGTTATGTGAACTGAAATGAAATATTTTAAGAAAGTTCAGATTAAGAAAAATGAGGGTGGATTATGTGAAAGCTAACATTAACTGAAGCGACATATGGAAAATAATATTGTGACATCTTAAAAAGCTGAACGTCCTGCCAGACTTCCTCTTGTCCATCCCATCATTCTTTTTTTTTTGCATGGGCTGTTATTATTTTGTTGTTTTGATTCAAAGTATTTTAAGACATCTTTTTACATCTTGTATACATATTTTTTGTTTGAGTCATACTCAGTCTTTATATATTAAAACCAGTGTACTGGCCAGATGTATAAATGCTTTTGTTCATACATAAGCTAGTATTGTGGTGTCCTAGAAGGGAGAGAGGGGGTGCAGAGAGCCTCTTCACATTAAGGGATATTGCCTCATAGACAGATAACCTTATAAACTTACCAGTGGTTGCAATCTGGAATTCTGTTCAAGTCCTTTATTCTACTTCCTGTCAGTGTATACATGGAATTTTACCTGTAAATATGTTCAAGTTCACATTCCTTTTTGTTTGATGCCAAAGCCGGTCTTTTAAGTTGCTGTGTATTTTTGTGAACTGTCCAAATACAATTAGGGTGTGTATTTTCTTTCATCAGAAAAGAGAAGTGAGTTCTATCTGGGCCAGGTTTGCCATGTTAGGCGAATAGCTTCCACCTCCAAGCGTGAGGATGCTCTTGCGCGCTCTGGCAGAACCTGACTCACCGTAGAGAAAGCGCGGATCGTCACAGCCTCGAGCCAGCCTGCCGGCTCCGGGAGAAAACGGTCCAAATCTTGTCTTGCTTGCCTGCCCAAACCTTTGAAAAAACTAATGAGAGGCGGGGCCTTAGTAAATAGGTGATGAAAGGGCTCTTGCCAGTAGGTGCTTAATTGTAGTTGCTTCTCTTTAGAAGAGCAGAAAGATTGCAGTCCTTGGTAACGCTGGATGCTTGCTTACATACAGCCAAGGGGCTTTGAGTGTCCCTGGCAATCCTCAGTATAGCCCAAGACTTTCTGTGAGCTAAATTGGACCAACTTACCTGATCTCTTTCTGGATATTTTTTTGAAACAAGTGACATCTACACTAAGTTATAGTTTTAACTTGCCCTTTGTTAACTGTTGCCTTGTGTTTTGTTTTTATGGTCCCTGCTTTATATATATATTTTTTCTTAGTGAGGGGCAGTTGAAGGTGTTTGTTCTTAGGATCTTCTATTTCAGTGCATTTTTCAGACATCTAAAGGCCACTTATTGACACGCTGCATTACACCAAAAGGCTATTGAGGAGTTTTACTTCATTTCATGTTTAGCTGTGCCAAATATTTTAAAAGGACGGCAGTTGACATCACTTTTCTTTAAGGGACACATATTTCTGGCTTTTTGAAGTACTTTTAGACATCCACCTAGAATCTGACTCATCTTTGTAAGAGTGCCGTTTACTGTAAAACTCCAAATATAAGCAGAAGGGTTTGATATACCCAACAAGTTCTTGGGTTAGATGACATGAGAGATGGACTCTTGGGAGCCCATTGGTAAGGTGGAGCCGACTTTGAGTTAATAGGGTTGGGTTGTTTTTTTTAGTTTTTAACACAGGATTTTATGTACACGTTTCTGACACTGGTGAGCATAACCCCGCCTTATGAAGTCATTTGCTTTACTCCTCTGAAAGTTGTTAGTAATACTAGCTTGATTTTGAAGTCCCCATTCCTATTTAAGTTTGTACATTTGAGACCAGTAACAACCAAACTACTTTTTTCCATCTTCAAGATATGAAAGTTATTTTTCCCACTTTCATTACCTCGTGCATTTGGTCACCAGTTGTCACTCTTTGAGTTCTTGCATTCTCGTGGTTATTGTTTCTCACTGGTTCTAATTGAGTGCTGATGTAATTAATGTGTTCAGGACCAGATTTGACAAGGAAGATGTATGCTTGTCTACCGGTGATACTCTAATAAAAGACCCCCCCGCCCCCATTTTAAGTCACCTAAAGAAACAGAACTGTAATACCTTAGTCCATAAATTATTGTAAGAAATGTATGCACATATATCAATTTTATGCATATGCCTCAGTTTAAGAAAGAAAATATTTTGATCTTTAGCATGCTGGACTATGATACAGAGAACCTGAACTCTGAAGAAATCTATAGTTCTTTGCGTGGAGTTACAGAAGCCATTGAAAAGTTCAGTTTTCGAAGCCAAGAGGATCTGAATGAGCCAATTAAACGAGATGGCAAGAAGGACTGTGATATTGTAAGTATCCCCAGGGTAACAGAGAACTGTATATTAATAAGTGATAATTAATGATTCTTCTGAACACTGACCAGTGTCATTACTGAGCTTCATTGTCAGTTGTAGCCTGTAGTAGGAAGCCTTGTTTTTAGAGGCCCAAGGCCATTTTGAGTTACCCTTACTGTCTTTGTGAAGAATGGTAAGCACCTCCTTTCTCATTTTGCTTCTGTTTGTGCCGGGCAGGTTTTTGTTCCTACGATTTGATACAAGTAGTAAGCCTGAATCAGATACCAGTGTGGCTGTCGGGGAGCTCTAGTCTCATGCAGAAAAAGGCAGATGTGCGAGAGACTGTGGTGCGGTGCAGAGGGTGGGGGGCCTCAGGAAGGAGACCCTCTTGTTTATAGGACAGTGGCGGACTCTACAGTGTTGAACATGAGATTCTGAAGATCGGGCTAGGTGGGAGGTGTATAGCTTTCATTCTTAAGGGACTTTCCAGAATTTCATGTCATTGATTTCTCAAAAAAAATGTTTGAGTAAAGTTAATCTTACATATATATAGTAAAACAGATTTTATGTGTAAATTAAAGAATAGATGGAAATGTAAGCATAGTCATTCAGTTCCCTTTAAGGTAGTTTATGAATTAGATATTTACCAATTGAAATTCTAACAACTGTTCTTTTGCTGGTAGCCAGATTTCAAGTGAGAAATCTCTGGCTCTCCTGATACTTCTGAAAATATAAAGAAAAGTTTGTTAAAAGTCCTAAAAAGGAACTGACAGTGTTCTGTGTTCCAGGTGTCCCGCGATGGTGGAGTCGTCCCCCCTGCCACCGAGGGCCGGGGAGGCAGTGATGTGGTGGAGGGAGGCAGAACAGCTCTGGACAACAAGACCTCCCTCCTCAACACTCAGCCTCCACGCGCCTTCCCAGGGCCACGGGTGCGAGACTACAACCTGTACCCCTACCCCGACACCATCAACACCTATGACAAGACAGCCCTGAAGGAGGCCGTGTTTGACGATGACATGGAGCAGCTTCGAGATGGTCTGTCTTTCTTTCTCTGATTGTCCTCCATCCATAAGTTTCTTCCATAGGCTCCCCTCCTATCAGATCAGTTCTGGGCATACAGTCCAGTGAAAGTGAAACGTTGGGTCTGCTCTGCTTCGTCTTCTGTTCAGCAGCTACGTGTTTGGCCTGGAAGGCACAGTTGCTGCCCTGTTGACGCTTACTGTCTGGTCACAGAGGAGTTAGGAAATAGGCACAAGGCTGGCTGCACTGTCAGGGAAGGCCTCAGGGCCCAGGGCCCGAAGGGATTGGGAGGACAAGGGGTTGGTGAGGTGCGGCGTGAAGGCTCAAGGGGTCCCCGTGCTGGGCTGTGATGTACCAGTGGAACTGCCCTCTTTTCTCCACCAGCTTTTCACCGGCTGCTCTGGGGACTGCTTCCCATGGACTCTGCCCTGTCCCTGGCGCAGGGTCTGACGTGCCTGTGCTCTTGCGTCCCCACCTTTGCGCGGCGCTCCTGTGTTGCATGGTGTCAGGTAGAGCCGCGGGCTGTTTCTGTTCTGCAGATGGACACTGAGGTTCAGAAAGGTTAGTTACTGTCCCACGTGCAACGTACTCGTTGTGCGATAGAACTGTCCGGTTTTTTATGACTCTCTTAAGACCCGTGTCCATGACTGAGGAACGAGTATGTGTATTTTGGTATGATGGTATTTTTATTTAGGACTTTGTTTTTTCACCTCATTGTCATGTTCGCACATTTGGTTTACTTCAACTTAGTGGCCATCTTAGCTGTCTGCCATGACAAGGCAGCTGTGGGAACTAAAGCCAACCCAACCTAGCAGTCATTTAAAGAAAGAGTGTGTGTGTGTGTATTTGTTTTGTTTCCAAGCTTTTTTTTGTTTTGATTTGTTTTCAAGTTTTCAGTGAAAAATTAAAACTAAACAGTTAACATTCACTGTGTGTCAGGAAGCATATGGCTTGCTGGGGACAGGGAGGTAAATGAGACAGTCCCTGGCCTCAGAGAGCTCAAGGCCTGTCCGGGGAAACAGACGCACCCTGGTCACACTATGAGAGGGGCCCCCGCAGGTGCGTGCCAGACTCAGTGGCACAGCAGCCGGAAGCTGTGCTCTGTGTGGGTGCGGAGGGATGGACAGGCGGGAGCGGCCCTCCAGGCGTGAGAGCACAGTGCTCAGGCTGTGAGTTCTCGTTGCTGGTGGGCAGCAGCTCCCCATACGCAGGCGTCTGTTCACTGTGGTCTGGTGTCTGTTACGACTGTACTCTCTGAAATACTGGACTATTTCCTTTCATTGCTCATAGCATTGTGCATCATTTCGCTTATCCACTTGTGGGTTTTATTGAACGTGGAATAGAGATTAGGATGCTTGTTGTTATTTACTCAGCAACTGTGTAATGAAAGACTTGAAGGAAAAGGTGGGGCTGGCGGGAACTGATAGCGTTCTTTAACATTTCAGACTTTCTTCTGCGTTTGTTCCCTAATTTCAGATCTATAGAAATGTGCAAATGCTAACTTAAGTAGAACCTGATGATTTGTCTGAAATTTTACTTCATCTTTTCTATTTAAAGTGAATTCAGAGTTTCAGTCTCTTAAAGAATATGTAATGAGAGAGGACTGCTCTTCTGCCACGTAAACCACGGTCCAGGTCCTTGCAAGCCACTATGTAAGAGATCCTGGCGAGTTTTCAGTCGACCTGGATTGGTACTTGTTTACTGTGCTAGTTGCTAAACTTTTGACCTTTCGAGAAAGGGGATGGCTGTTGATCATTTGTATTGTAAGGAGTGCCTTGAGGAAAGTATGTAGTTCAGTGGATGGAATACTAGTAAGGACTGTGGCAGGGTCTGTCCCAGTGGAAAGAGAGTTTGAGTAAAGAAGACAGTTGAGGGGCTTTGGGGGGAGGTTCTTCTCTGTCTGAAATCGATGAATGGAAGAGCAGTTTCTCATCTTTGAAACGGAAGGGGGAAGATGGTAAGGGAGGGTAGAACATTGAGTGCTGGTGCTTGATACCTGTTGTTCCACCTCTGCTCTCACAGTTTGGCGGGCTGCTGGTCAGTGGAGGGTGGGCTGGGGAGAGACGGAGCACAGTGGGAGGACAGCTGCCCATCACTGAGGCAGCCCCTGCAGCCTGGCGTCCCTTGTGTGGTGACTTCTGTCTGTATGTCTCACCAGTGCCCATTGACCATTCGGACTTGGTGGCTGACCTTCTGAAAGAGCTGTCTAACCACAACGAGCGAGTGGAGGAACGGAAGGGCGCCCTGCTGGAGCTGCTCAAGATCACGCGGGAGGACAGCCTGGGCGTCTGGGAGGAGCACTTCAAGACCATCCTGCTCCTGCTCTTGGAGACACTCGGAGACAAAGATGTGAGGAGCTCTGTGGGTCGTTACCCCTCCCTGGGATGAGTTCAGTCCCGTTCTTCTAGGGTTGGGCTTCCAGCTCTACCTTCGGTATTGTGCTCACTATTTACATCAAAACATGTTTGAAATATTTTCCAAGCACCAGTTAGTAAGGTCATGTTTTTGCCAGAGACAGGCCCCAGCCTAGTTCATATGCAGGTGTTTTGTAGTTTGCTTTGTGGTCGCTGAGGGAAACTTGTTCCTGCAGTCGGCCACTTGAACACAAGATTTCTTCAAACTCAGTTAGCAGAAAATGTCATCTTTTACAACAAGCTTTTTTCCTTTCAAGTTTCATTCATGTTTCATGTTTAATTGTGACACAGAGAAGTTCCTTTTTTAAGACCCTATGAAATGCTGCATTCCATCTAATTTTGTTTTGGTGCACCTCTGTGTATGTCGGCAGTTCCAGTAACCCTAACTGGTCAAGCAACAGATTAGGAACCATGGATTGGTATGATTGTCTATTGTTGTTTTTAAAATAAAAGGCCCTCTTCACACTGACATTTGAGTGTAACAAACTGGGCACTTGCTATAAACTCTTACAGGAGGGAAGGCTCAGCCAGTCCTGCCTTCTTGCCCCGGTGCAGCTAGTCCTGTGCACGGAGACAGGAGTAAATGGAGGGAAAGCCCAAGGAAGCTGCCTCCCTCTGCACTGCACTGGCTCCTGTTGGCAGAAACACCACCACCTGAACGTGGTGAAGAGCTCTGCTGGCAGGGCTGGGTGGAAATGTGACACAGCCCATGGTAAAGGTCATGCCCAGGGTCATGTTGGTAACTTGAATGGAAGACAGATGAGCAGGAGACTGGTGACTGTGGTGGTGACTCAAATTGCTTTCTGATGCTTAGGATTAGTGGTTTGGTATAGTTCAGGGCTGAGTCAAGCTAGAAGAATGGAGATAAAAGATCTGTATTAACTTCTCTTAAAACAAAGTATTGGCTCCTGAAGCACTTCTCCTGGGTTGGGCTTTGTTGAGGAGATAATGTGATAGCATGTGGAGGGCGGTAGATGGTGTGCTGGTGAGTGAATTGTACAGATGAGTGACAAAGAATCAGGATGTACTTTTTGGCTGTGTTTGGTGTAAACTCCATTCTCTTTTACTGAGATTAGGAGTCTGTTTGGAATGGCTTTCCTCCAGACACATGACTCGGGCCTCAGAGTCCTCAAGCAGCTCGTGGCCTGTATGAATCCCCCTCCCCCATGACCTCATCACACAGCAGGTCTCCAGCTGTCCTTGGAGAATTCAGTCTTACCGGTCCTGTTGTTGATGCTTTTCACCTGTCCTTCTGTACATTTTACAAAGGATGGTTTGCATATATAAGCCTCAGGAAGTCTGGAAATCCCCCGGAGATACATGGTCCTCATTTAGCCATTTGGCTTATTCTGGAAACCCTCATCAAGCCCCTCTTAGGTGCTGGGTGCTGGGAATGTCGCCACGGCACAGGGCCTGTCCTCGTGGAGCTGGCTGTCAAAGAGCCCCTGTGGAGTGCAGTCCTATTGAGGGGTCTGCAGGAGGCTGGGGAACCCACGACTAGGTGTTTGGTGCTCTCCAGACCCTTCTGACTGGTACATGTAGTGAAGCACCGTGTATTGTGTGCTGATGTCTTCCTTTCCTCTTGTACTCCAGCATTCCATTCGCGCACTAGCATTGAGAGTTCTACGAGAAATTCTGAGAAACCAGCCAGCAAGATTCAAAAACTATGCCGAGCTGACGATCATGAAGACTCTGGAAGCCCACAAAGACTCCCACAAGGAGGTGAGCCAGACTTGAGGCCCAGGAACACGGAAACAACTCTGGGGTAGTTAGTTGTGTGGGGAGAAGAGTGTCAGTCACTGTACAGCTTCAAAAAAGAAGTCCCTTCCTTTGAGCTCAGCCCATGCCTTATACAGGGTAAAAATCCCAGGGCTGCTGTGGTGACTGAGCGGCAGTGCGGTTCAAGGGCCAGTGCCACTTGGTAGGGTTCCAGCTCCTTTTCCATGTGTACGGTGGGCTTGGCCTGTTCCTGGGGGATTTTTGTGTCAGTGGTTCCTTTTGCTTTGGTTAAATGGAGGGGTCTGGTATTCTGCGTCTGGCGGTGTGATGTTGCCGATCAAGATTGGCTTTGAGGACACACATTCTAGAAGAAGTCCTTGCTCCAGAACCTTGGAGAACTTAGTTACCCTTCTGAGCTTCAGTTTCCTTACGTGTAAAATACCTCTCTTTAAAATCAATAAACATCCTTGAGTGAGGATTTAAAAAAAAACAACATGTGAGAACCAGATGAACTAAATATAGTAAAAAAAATTATTCCCAGGTGAGGAAAGAGGATCCTAGGAGGTACCATGGTTTGTCAGGTGATGTATGGCGATAACTGGGAGAACCAAGATACAAACCAGGTTATATGTCTCTTTTAATAGGCAACTGACTTGTGCTGACTTATTTTTTCTTTTCCTGTTGTTTTTTTTTAAACCACAGTGGCTTCTTGTTAATGAGAATACGTGAACAAAAGAATGAATGTTCTTTTAAAACTGATGTTCTTTTACATATACGGTGTCCATTGTTTCACCGAGAGGACATGCGTGAAACATGGCACTGCGGTGAAACAGCCGCCAACAGTGTGTGGCGCTTGCTGGCCACCTCCTTGAAAGACGTCTGTCTCTAAAGCGAGCACCCTGATCTGCAGCTTTGAACCTTTGATGGTGGACCCTCAGAAGTACAGTTAACAGACCTAAATACTCCCTTTACTGTTTACTGGTTTTTTGTTTTTTTTTTTAAGAGACCTTATTCCTTTTTTCCTGCAAAATGAGAAATTTAGGAGAGAAAGTTCTTAGGTGTGAAGTCTTTTAAATCGCCTAAGGGACAAAAGCAGGAAATATCTGCTGCCTAAAGTCAGTTAAGGTGCACTCAGTCGCCTCTAATTCCTGTAACCCGAGGGTCTCCACGCTGCTGTCGCTGCTGACCTGATAGAGCAGGGGGAGGAAGCACTGTGTTCTGGAAAGAGCCTGTGCTGGCAGGCCTCCCTGCTCCGCACACTTTCAGACTCACCTTGACTCAGCTGCCCTCGACGTGTCCCTGTGAAACTTGACTCTCGCTTTGCCAGAAGCTCCTATCTTGGGCAAGGTTTTGGGGCTGGTTTTTAGTATGTTTTCCTTTTCCTTTAGAATTCTTCTAGTCTTCCTCTTATTTAATCCAATCTGTCTCTGTCCCTTGTTTTTGTTTTTTAGGGCAAAATAGTTTGTGTGTGGCCATAATGTTGGTGTATGCTGTTGCACACAGTATTTCTCTCGTCAGTATACTTGCTCATCATTACAGCCAACAGTTTATTCAAGCATTACTTGAACATTTTTTGAAAAGGACCTGAAATGTTTCTAGACCCAGTTAGTGTGTCAGCCATAGAGAGGCAGAGTCTGTTTTCCTGTCTAATTAGTTCTTCCAGGATGTCATCCCAGGACTTCCCTCTCCAGAGAAGCTGGTGGGTTTTGGATTCCTAGGCAGAACACAGGCCTCAGCACAATGAAGAGCACAAGACCAGGAGTCTGGCACAGGGTTCCTCTGGGAGATCTGGGCACCCGCGTCCTCCTTGCCCGCTGGGGTGGTGGCCATGCCATGCTGCACACTGTCTTTCTGTCTGTGGGACTATAGCAGTGAAGGACAACTTTTCAAAGTCCAGTTTCTGGCCTGGCTGGTGTGGCTCAGAGGTTGAGTGTCGACCCATGCACCACGAGGTCGCCGGTTCGATTTCTAGTCAGGGCACACGCCCAGGTTGTGGGCCTGATCCCCAGTGGGGGCATGCAGGAGGAGGCCAGTCGATGTTCTCTCTCCCTCTCCCTTCTTCTTTATCTAAAATCAATAAAGAAGAATTACTTTTTTTAAAAAAAAGAAATCCAGTTTCTGTAAATTGAAATTTATCATAAAAGCCTTTATGGAAGATGAATAAGACAAAGCCGATGTAAGATGGCTTGTCTGTCATATGAGCCACAGTCTGTTTTCTCAGGTCTTTTAAAAGGAGCTGTGTGTGCAGAACGTGGTTTAATATGGAAAATGTCTCAGGCATTACCCACCCTCAGCTTCCATGCACATTCCACAGTAGGCAAGACAGAGGATTTGGATGCCAATTTCGAGTTTTTATTTTAAAAGATGGTGTTTGTCAGCTTGGACATGTTTTTATGTTTCCTGTTTGAATAAGTGTAAATCTGTCTTTCTCCAAAGCCTTGTTTTTATCTTTTTAGTAAATAAAATATGCTCTGGTGCTTCAGTACTTCCTTAATGAAGTTACTGTGGTTTACAGTAGTATTAACTTTTAGCAAACTTTTTTTAAAAATATTTTTTAATTGATTTTTTTTAGAGAGAGAGGAAGAAAGAGAGATAAAAACATCAATGTGAGAGAAAAACAACCATCAGCTGCCTCCTGCATGCCCCCTACTGGGGATCAAACCTGCAACCGGGCATGTGGGCTGACCAGGAATCGAGCCAGGACCTCTCAGTCCATGGGACAATGTTCAGTCCACTGAGCCACACCGGCCAGGCATTTTTAGCAAACATCTTTAAAAGGGCTAAGGCTTTGGTAGTGACCTTTTAACATCTTAAGCACATCTTCTGTTTTACAAGAAAACTGTATTATCCTTAACTTTTCTCATCTTACAATTTGTAGTCTGTTAGAATTGGTTCAGAATCTCACCTTCACTGATTGAGAGGATAGACAACAAAGCTGGGGATAGGGCAGAGGGAAGGGGAGGAGGGTGTCAATGGCGGGGGGGGGGGGGGATGAGAAACATCTGTAACAAAAACAAATTAATAATTAAAAAAATAAAGTGGATCCTTCAGTCCCAGTCAAGCCTCCTGTATCAATATCCCTAATTGATATATTGACTATAATCTCAGGGGAGATTCTGAACCATTACAAATCAGCTGGGCCACTCTCAAATTTCGTTGTGAGATAATAAATGATGGTTGGGTTTTTTGTTTTTTTTTAAAGAGAGAGAGAAAGGATTTAATAAGAGAACTACTATGAATGAGATTCTGGGTCAGTGTAGGTATGAATTGAGATAGAAAACCTCGATTCTGAGCCCAGCTTCTGCTCCTACGCTGTGTTCATTCTCATCTCTGTACAACCGTGCGAGCGTGACTTGTGAGGGCTAAAGACGTGGTGTGGAATGTCATGCTGTCCCAACATTGCTCTCTAACTTGTTTTCAGACATCCTTATCCTTTGCAGAAGATTCTTTTTTTTTCTTTTTTTTTTTTTTATCCTCACCCGAGGATATTTTTCCATTTTTTGTACAGATAGAATGGGAGGGAGAGTGAGGAAGGGAGAGAGAGTGAGAAACATCGACGTGAAGGGACATATCGAGTGGCTGCCACCCACACGACCAACCAGGGCCGGGGACAAACTGCAACCGAAGTACGTGCCCTTAGCGGGAACCGAACCCGGGTCTCTCCGGACCGCAGGCCGACGCTCTAACCGCTGAGCCAAACTGGCCAGGGCCAGAAGATTCTTTTTTTGGTAAATAGTTGACATGCTAATTGTTAATCATTTTATACTCATTTAGTGTAAGAATAGTTGTTGCTCCTGTGTCTTACATGCAAGTCACTGTGTCTTGTGTATGAACTTAAAAGAAGTACCAACTCTATTTCTCAAAGATAACCTGTAATTGAGACTTTTCGATCATTAGTGTATTCTGATTATACTCGCCTGTTAACAGAGGAAAACGCCATCATCACTTTATGTCCCTACACTGAAGTCTCGGGTGTGAGGCATCAGCGTCCAGCCTCAGGTGGGGTGGCTGGTTCCGGGAAGTTCAAGTCTCAGATAAATACAAAACAACCACTGTTAAAATTTTTAGGGGTTTTAGTTTTAAATCATTTCTAGTTAATTTTATGCTTTATGACTTTAAGGAATTAAAAAGCAAAGCCAGACCACAATTATTTTTTAAATGAAATGAAAGAGAATTTTTCAGAGACTGGTGTTCTAGCTTCTGCTTCTTCCAGTGAGCATGGTGTGTGTCTGACACATTCCTTTTGGCAAATACCATGGCCAGAAAAAAGTGGTAGGATGGCCTGGTCAGTGTGGCTCAGTGGTTGAGCATCAACCCATGCACTAAGAGGTTATCAGTTCAATTCCTGATCAGGGCACATGCCCAGGTTCTGGGCCCGATCCCCAGTGGGGGACATGCAGGAGGCGGCCAATCAATGTTCTCTCTCATCGATGTTTCCATCTCTCTTTCCCTCACCCTTCCTCTCCCTAAAATCAATAAAGAAAAAAAGCAGTAGTGTATCAGAAGGCATTTCAGTGACCTGATATGTGCTGTTCCAGACACCAGTGAAAACCACTGTCCAGCCATGTTTTAACTGACTCCTTTGTTCAGGAGTGGCCCTCAGGAAGCCTCTCAGGACAGTAGCCGTGTGTCAGTGGTCCTGGAGAACAATGCATTGTGTGACCCTGGAGAAATTAATTACTTCTCTGGACCTTGTTTTTCTTATCTATTAGCTGAGGGAATGGACTAGATGATTACTTGTGTCCACCCAGCCTCAAGATGATAGAATTTGCTGTTGAGTAGCACACCCCACCCAACCCTTCATAGATTATGAATCTCCAGTTATCAATGGGCTCAATCTTGAGATGTGGCCAGAAGCCCATTTCCTTTATAAGTTATTACTTTGTGTTTTTTTAAATTTTCACCTGAGAATATTTTTCCATTGACTTTTAGATAGCATGGAAGGGGAGGGGAGAGGAGGGGAAGGAGAGAGAGAGAAACATCAATGTAAGAAAGACACATCG